AAAGAAACCCGAATACCAGGATAATGATTAATATTTGTCAACGCATTCCCTAAATCGTAAAATGCATATTTACCTACTGTACCGTAAATCGGGAATTCTTTTCGTCCTAATGAATCACGGTCGTATAGATAAGACAACGGTAGATACGATAGTAAAGATGTATTTCTTTTGAATTTTCAAACATACACAAACACTCGTTTACGTCAATTTCATTCCAACTTAATCCTTCGTCATTGTCTTCCGTTGTGACGTTCTTCAGTTTTAAGAAATAAGCTTATCTCGTACCGAATAATACCTGTTGCGTATATCATTCAAACGTTCCCACCAAAATTAATAAAACATTTCGAACAATTTTTCCTCTTTTCATTCTCTCACATTCTCCAGAAAAACAAAAAAAATAAAAAAAATAAACTAAACGTATTCGGAGGATTAGCGAAACATTTCCGTTTCGATTTAACTCGTGAAATATCGCTTTCCCGAGAAACTTCGCGTTAATTGAACACACTGGATATCCTAATAGAATCGTCTGAAACGTTAGACGGGATTCTCTTATCGGGGAAACCAGGAGATGAGGTTGCTGCGACGACAGGTGTTCGACGGTATCGCTAAGAATGTTACGTTCAGTGACGGTGTACAGTAGTCTGGTTTGAACAGCGACGGTTCGCTGATTTACCGTCTTCTCCCCTTTAATTCGTCTGTTTATCGCAGTTTCTCGTGCCAATGACAACAGGCTGCGCGTTCAAAACAGTCACAGTTCTCCAACTCGCGTAGATCATTTTTCCAAAATTCCCATCTTTCCTCGTACCTCCGTGTGTCACGATTGTACAGCGATCGTACATGTTTTACGAGCGTTACTATCAAAATATAAACGAACCACGTTATCGCTAGAAAATGGTGATAATTTGTGCGGGTGCTCTCTCGACGTTCGTCGATCGTACAATCGCGCGACGCTGAATTTTATCGATCTTTCGCGAGTGAAAAATAACCCAAGTGATCTATATTCCAAAAAAAAAAAAAAAAAAAAATAGAAAAGTACAAGGAGAAAAAATGTGGAGAAGATGAAGAACAAGAATAAAACTACACGACAGAGTATCGAAAAGAAGATCGAGAAAACCTACTACGTCGAATCCCCGATTTCTATTGAAATGGCAAATTGAATCGTCCGCGACAGTTTCCCTGGGAATGGTATAAATGATAAAAATAAATCGAGATTTTTCCTATTAAACGAAACGATACAATTTCGTAGCCGGGTAATTCCACGGGGGAAAATAATCGTAGATCGTTCGGTTAGGTTTACCTTGGGCCAAGTGACCCATTAACGATCGAGAACGATCGTACTTTGTTGACTCGATATCGGGCTATCGAGCCTCGCGACAGAATGCTTTGTTTACCCGGTGACAATTATTTCTCGCAGATACAAATGTGTGTACACTTAAAATAGAACGATTTGTCGAAACGGTTCTTCCCCAAATATATAGATATATATACACACAAAGGTATTTACAAACATTTTCCCAACCGTGGCGTTTCTATTTTAAATGCGCGACGATCTACGCCATCGGACTCCTTTACCGGGAGATGTTACTCGGTTGATTGGAAGCTTGGAGAACGTTTAGTTCATCGATCTAGAAGATCTATCATTATGAACACGTCCAGCGAGGATGGAAACGATCTGCACGATTTCTGGAGAGATTGGGATCTGAAGAATTTAACGGAGGCCGAATACTTGACCAAAGTACTCGGACCGAAATATTTGCCTATGAGAATGGTGATACCGCTTACTATAGCTTACGTGGCGATCTTTGTCACCGGTATATTCGGAAACGTGGCCACTTGCATCGTGATCATGAGAAATCCATCGATGCAAACAGCTACCAATTACTACTTGTTCAGCCTGGCCATATCCGACGTTATTCTACTTGTTCTGGGTGAGTTCGTACGTCCACGCCGGGTTTTATGGTCGCGCTTATCGGTACATCAGGTGTAGAAATACGTTCTTTCCGATTCTTTGGTAAAGTGAAAATTTTAGTTAACCCTTCAGCTACGGCAGGACTTTCGGCGGAGCTGTATCTCTGTACGGTAATGTTCGCGACGCGGACTGCGCGTAAACAACATAGCACTGCGATAGTGTTGTCTGCTATGTAATTACTAGATTGCGGATTTTTATGCATTTATGAAAATTTCAAGACACGAAAATACACAGAACGCACATAATAAGCAAAAATATACGAACAATCCTACAATATAGTACTAGTTATGATATTTTTTTAATTATATTCATGAAAATATGAATTTGCATAAAAATCCGCAGTCTAGTAAGTACATTGGAATAATAATAATAATTAATAATACAATTGTGTATGATGTACTTTGAAACAGAGACGGAGTGAGCCACTATAGAAGGCATACGCGAAAGACACTTTGGAGGCGTACCGTTCAAAAAGATGACATTCGCGAAAGCCACTATAGCGGCGTACAGTAGCTAAAAGGTTAAAAGAAGCTGTAAGAAGTTAATCGTTGAAATATTCGCCGTGGTTTTCAAAGACTTCTCGCCACTTTTCTGGCAAGTCACGAATCCTGTCGCGATGAAAACTCGGTGGCTTCGGCGCGATGTGCTCGTCTAGGCATTTCTCGAACGTCTTCGAGAGTTTTGAATTGCACGTCTGCTAAGTGACGTTGTAGCG